GGGCGGAGATCCTGGTGATGAGCGCGGAGCCGCGGGAGACGGAGAAGGCGATGCGGCTGCTGGAGCGGGCCGTGAGCGAGGTGGAGGTGCCGAACGCACTGGAGAAGGTGACGGTGAACTTTGGGATGCTGCGCGTGTTGGCGGAGGAGGGGCGGGACGACTGGGAGCGGTGCGCGCGCGTGGGGCGGCTGTGCCGCCTGATGACGGAGCGGAGCGGGCGGTGCATGGGGGCCTGCGTTCTCGGCGAGATGATGCGACACGGGCGCGGGGCGCGACAGAGCGCGCGCGACGAGGTGCACTGGTTCGAGCGCGGCGTGTGCGGCGGCGAGGCGCGCGCCGCCGTGGCGCTGACGGAGATGCTTGTCGACGTCGAGGGCGAGGGCGACGTGCCGGCCGAGCGCGGCCGCGCCGTGCTGCTCGCCGCGCAGGCTGTCGCGGGCGGCGGCTCGGTCGCGAGGCGCACGGTCGTGGTGCTGGCGAGGGTGTGGAACGCGCGGAGGGGGAAAGGGTGATCTCCTTGGAGGAGCCCCGGCGTGGAGAGAGAGTGTGTGATGAACACGTTGTCCCGCAAGTTATTTCCCCCTCTCGCTCCTCACCCGCTCCCGTTCCCACCTTCCTCTCCACCTCTCCACTGCCCCTCACTGCCCCTCACCTCTCCTCACCTCTCTTCACCGCTCCCCACCGCTCCCCTCTCTCCATCTTCCTCCGCCGCACTTCCGCTTCTCGCGACCGAACCCCCGCTCCGCTCCCTTCCCCCAGACGCTCCCTCGCTTTCTGTACACACACTTGTTTCCGCGTTGGTGCACAAGGCCAAACCGCAATGCATGCTGTACCCACACCATACATACCGTACATAACTATTAAAGCCGCTACGCGGCCGCCCGCCCGACCTCCAACCCACCCCCCCTCCGCCCCCACCCATCCCTCACCCCGACCAGCGAAGAAAAGAAGCCGGCTCTCCGATCTCACGCCCGAGCATGAAGAAGCTTTTCACGCTTCTGACACTGACGCGGCTGTCCCCCACGCTGGCGGTGCCGCTGCAGGCGGTGCCGCGCGCGACGTCCGGGCTGAACCTGGCGTTCTGCTCGCCGACGAGCGAGTGCATGGCGCCGCGGCTGTGCTACGGGGACGACCTGGCGACGCTGTGCCGGCCCGACGACGCGCTGTGCTTCTGCTTCCCCGTGACCGTGCCGACGTGCGCGACCATACTGGGGAGGGGAACAGGGTGATGTGAGGGCGGACGGGGCGACAGAGCATGAGACCTGATAGCTCCATGTCAATTTCACGTTCCATCTCACTAATTCGCATTACCGTACGGATCGCCTTAATTTTCTCTGTAAAGCTATTATCGAGCATCAGATCATCTCGCCCGTCTTCTACGTCACTCCTTTCGCCTACAGTAATATCAGATCCATTGACGTTGTCAACTACGCTCTTCGCCATTTCATTTTGCCCTAGAGCTTCCCATATGTCACTATCGTCGCCATTCAAATATATTTGATAGACAACTTCTCGCGTTCACCGACAAGACTAGACACCACAGAACTCAAACCCGACGTCTCATCTCTGATATGCTGCTCCGCCAACGAGTCGTCTTGCTCACTTTTTCGGGCTGTCAACTTTGTGCTGAACCAGCAATGCTCAATTATATCAGCAGGAATCTCGCCCCATAGCTTCTGTAGATACTTCATGGCGGTCAACTGGTCAATATTATAAATATTCTCCTCCCCATCTTCTAAACCATCAAGTGCTCTACAGTACTGAGCGGTCCTGTATCTCCTCTTTAAGCAGTTGATAATACCAGCATCCATAGGCTGAAGCTTGGAGGTGTTGTTCGGAGGAAGAAATTCCACGTGCACACAAGAAAGGTCTAGTAGCCTTTCCGGTCTTCCATGACCGGAAAAATTGCTGCAGCAACACTTTTCTCCATGCTGTCCTATTTATGTAAGAATCAAACCGAAGCAGCCACTTAAAAACAAATCCATCGTCATCCACGCCTTCTTATCATGGGCATACTCAAATCCGAGCTGCTCTCCTGTCTTCTTCTGAAAGCAACGGGGACGCCCAGCTGAACCAATAAAAAACAAAAGGAACTCCTCTGTCCCGGAACTATTTGCACACACGAGAAGTGTTAGGGGCTTCTTTTGCTTTTTTCTGCCTGCAACTGGACTTGCACATCTTATGCGATCAGGCGCCCTGGCATAGTTACACCACGTTTCATCTGCATTTCATATGTCGTCCGGGTCGTATCTTCTACATATATCTTGTAATCTCGGTAGGCAGTCCGTTACTGCTTGATCGTCAGTATCGGCAGCCTCTCCATGCATTTTTCGAGACTTGATGCCCCATCGTTTCTGAAAATTCCAAAGCCAGCCCGACGTAAACTGTAGATTAATTTTCCTGTCTATTGGTAAAAGCACGTTAACATCCGCAAGAAGCCGTCTCCCCTTCTCCCTTATTATACTTCCCGAGACACACCGACCACGCTGGTTTTGATCCAATATCCATGCAGCCAAACTTTTTTCAAGCTCTAGTTGAGCTTGTTTGTTTGCGCGCTTGCCTTCGTTGTTGGGGGGTTCCAGAGATTTGCAGCGGGATATGCAAGAAAGGACCGATTTGGACGAGTAGAAAGAAATTCTGAGTTCTCTCTTTGCCCAGCTCGAGATATCGGCTAGGAGGATTAATTCCCCTCTCTCACGCCGTTTCGTAATTTCTTTGTGAACTTGGTGCTTCTGTTTGTTACTGAGGGCGTGTCACGCAATTGTGTGTGAAGGAGCTGGAATGAACGCCAAGACGAGAGACAGGGGATACAAAAATGCCAAAGTCTTGTTTAAGAAGCCAAGGCAATACAAAGTTGAAGGCAAAAACAGTAACTTTTTGTTACCGACATGGACAGTACCTTCAACATTTTTTGACCGTTGCTTGTCAAAAATAGAATATTAGAATTCGCATGTTTTTATGAGGGGTCACATGATGCGCTGGGAGTGAATACTTGCTTCTATCAAGGTGGTAAGAAACGCGCCGTAATATTCCAGAAATGAGGTTCGCCGTTCTGTGGACCACCGCCTGTTTCATTTATCAAGGAATTGCTTGTAGGAGGTCCCTTATATCAAGGGTCCACTGTACTGGACAGTGCATTTAATTCATAGTAACGAAAAGATGGGCTGCGATCGGTCGTCGTCGCATCAGGACTCGTGCCGCTCGTTCACACGCCGACGAGTGGTAGTTCAGGCCCAATTGAGGAACAAGGGAGGGCAGACGCCCGCTGGAATGCAAGCGTGGAGAAG